TTTTTTGGAGACAGAGTCTCTTCTGTTGCCCAGGCTGGAGTGCAGTGGCATGATCTCAGCTCACTGCAACCTCTGCCTCCCAGGTTCAAGCGATCCTCCTGCCTCAGCCCCACTAGGAGCTGGGATTACAGGCACGCGCCACCATGCCTGGCTAGTTTTTGTATTTTTAGTAGAGATGGGGTTTTGCCATCGTGGTCAGGCTAGTCTCGACGGAGTTCTTTGTCTTAATTATATCCTTGCACAGTGTTTAGTGTGTAAGTGTTGTCTTTTTTTCTTCTTTCCTCACTGACGTCCTTCCTCCACATACCTACCCCAAAACAGTTGTTCTTTTCTTTCTCCCCAGCACCAGTGGGAACAACCTGAAATGTAGTTTTAATTTTTTTCTTGCTCCTATAACTATGCAAATACATGTATAATGTGCATATATACATATGATTTTATTTATTTATTTATTTATTTTTTGGATGAAGTCTCGTGCTGTCGCCCAGGCTGGAGTGCAGTGGCGCAATCTCGGCTCGCTGCAAGCTCCACTTCTGGGGTTCACGCCATTCTCCTGCCTCAGCCTCCCGAGTAACTGGGACTACAGGCGCCTGCTACCACGCCCAGCTAATGTTTTATATTTTTAGTAAAGAGGGGGTTTCACCATGTTAGCCAGGGTGGTCTCAATCATCTGACCTCATGACCCACCTGCCTTGGCCTCCCAAAGTGCTGGGATTACAGGCGTGAGCCACCGCGCCCGGCCATACATGATTTTAAAAAAAAAATCTTTGTTTCATAAAATTTGATAAAATTGCATTTTATCAAAAAAAAAGACAATGACATTTTTCAAATCAGTGAAAACGCTTTGGATAGGAACACCTGAGAAGAATTTAGCTCTGCTGTTTTTTTAAACGTAGGTAAATTTGAAATTGTAAAGTATAATTTTTTTTTAATTTTAATTTTTTTGTTTTAGAGAAGAGGTCTTACTATATTGCCCAGACTGGTCTTGAACTCCTTGGCTCAAGCAATCTTTCTGCTTTGACCTCCCAGAGTGCTGGGATTATAGGTGTGAGTCACCACTCCCAGATAATGTAAAATATAAATTGGATTTTAACATTATAAACACTTAGCAAAAATTTGAATATACCTAAATATTTTTACGTTGAAAATAATTATTTGTCACTTATTTCCTGTCGTGTCCAAAAAAAGGCTAATCAGAGGCTAAAAGGACCCATTATGCTATTTAGAAATCTTAGTTACTTGGAATTTGTATACTTAAAATGTAATATTACAGATCACAGGCCCTGGTCTAGACTATCTGAATCATTATATTTAGAAAATATGAAATATATGGAAAATGCTTCTGTGTGTAAATACACATAGTATTTTCCTTATGTGTGTGTGTGTATATATATATATATGAACTTACATTTTTGTTAGGCACTGCTTTTTTAAAAGTATCTTATACATTTTCTGTATAAGTATATATTGAACTCCCTTACCCTGCATGGGTTTCTATTATAATGATATATAATACATTTTCTAATTGTTCTCCTATTATTTCAACCATTTAAAGCTTCTGCTATTGCAAACAGTTCAGCACTGAACATTCCTATATTTGCATCTTACTACCTATGTGCAAGTATCTAGAAGTAAAACTGTGAAGCCAAAGGGCATAAACATTTTAAATGTTCAAAGATACCCAAATTTGTTCCTGTTCTAGTATTGCAAATCTCATTTTGGTATAAGGGTTAAGAGAGTGGGCTGTGGTACCAGACTCCTTGGATTCTAATCTAGTTTGTGGGTAGTGTAAGTTATATGATCTTGGACAAGTTACCTTACCTCATTGACTTCAGTTTTCTCACATACAAAATAGGGATATACATAAGTTGTATCGAGTTCTTTTTTTTTTTAATTTATTTTTTTCAGTTGTTTAACATATATGGCAAAGTTGTATGGAGTTCTAAGGATTTGAATGAGTTACCAGATAAAGGTGTAAAGTATTGCTGACATATAGTTAGTACTCAATATATGTTAACTATTACTATTATTACATTATTATTATCTTAGTTAATGGTATCACCTCTCATCTCGTCACTCAGGGAAAATTCTCAGGAGTCACAAACCCAGCTCTACTTTGTGGATATATCCTGAACTTAACTACTCTTTACTATCTTTCCCACTACTAACCTAATTCAAACCACTGTCTGATGACACCCTTACATACCACTTCCATCCAGTACTATCCCCTCATGTTCTCTATACTTGGAAACACCACACCATCTTTGTTTGTTTGTTTTTCCCACACCATCTTTAAAGCCCAGGTAAGATTGTAGCACTCTTGCTTAAAATCCTCCAGTGGATTTCCGTTGCAATTTGAATAAAATCCAGATGCTTTACTTTGGCCCTTAAAGCCGTTTGTGACTTGGCTTGTCTTTCTCTGCAAACTCATCTCTTATCACTGTCTTCTGTGTTCACTACCCTTTAGCTATGCACTAGTGCTTTTTTCTTTAACTTTTTATTCTTTAAAAATGCCAGAACATGTTTATACTTTAGGTTCTTCAGCTTTTGGTTCCCTTTGCCTGAAATAATCCTCCTGGGGCCCTTCTAATGGCTATTTCCTTCTCATCATTCAGGTCCTTAATCACGTTTTTCTGTTCTTTTGTGATAGAAAGTCAGCTCCAGGGAAGGAGCTCACATTCATCACTGTTTTCTTAGCACCTTGAATAGTACTTGATGTGTAATTGTTGCTTAATACATAGTTTGTTACCTGAATGAGTGAAAATGGCTGCTGGAAAGGCTATATTTATTTATTTATTTATTTTTCTAGATGAGATGAATGATGCCGGATTATACCAATCTAATATACCCAAACCATTTTTCCACATCCACATCTCCAACATTAGGCAAACTTAAATTATTACCAGTCTTAGAAGGTGTTTTTTTTTTGTTTTTTTGTTTTTGAGTTAGAGTTTCACTCTTTCACCCAGGCTGGAGTGATATGGCGCAGTCTGCACTCACTGCAACCACCACCTGCCCCCCGGGATTCAAGTGATTCTCCTGCCTCAGCCTCCCCAGTAGCTGGGATTATGGGCACCCACCACCACACTTGGTTAATTTTTGTATTTTTAATAGAGACAGGAGTTTCACCATGTTGTCCAAGCTGGTCTCGAACTCCTGACCTCAGGTGATCCACCTGCCTTGGCCTCCCAGAGTGCTATGATTACAGGTGTGAGCCACCATACCTGGCCTAGAAGTTGTTTTAATTTACATTATATTAACATATGTGGCCGGGCGCGGTGGCTCAAGCCTGTAATCCTAGCACTTTGGCAGGCCGAGACGGGCGGATCACGAGGTCAGGAGATCGAGATCATCCTGGCTAACGCGGTGAAACCCTGTCTCTACTAAATAAACACAAAAAACTAACCGGGCGAGGTGGTGGGCGCCTGTAGTGCCAGCTACTCGGGAGGCTGAGGCAGGAGAATGGCATAAACCCGGGAGGCGGAGCTTGCAGCGAGCTGAGATCCGGCCACTGTACTCCAGCCTGGGCGACAGAGCGAGACTCCGTC